AATACATGACCATTTGACGTGGGGTCGTCCCATGTCTACCTGTTGTAGAATTTTCTCAGAACTGGTACAACTTGAGTACATTAGGATGCCCTGTGTGAGTGAATTAGATTCTATTTACATTAATCTCTTACCCAGGGATGACCATGAATGATGGCAGAGCTCATGAAATACATCCAGTCATCTGCAGTGTGAAAGGAAAGGCACAAAGTCAATCTGCGTATAGATTAGTGGGCAGTGAAGGGAGGTCAGGAGCCTGGAAAGAGAAAAATTGGAATATTACAGACAAGAAGGGAGGTACAAGGACACGGGAATGGGCACGAGGCATGAAGGGTTTTAAAAACCACATTAATGTGCCGGGCATTGGTGGCGCACACCTTTAATCCCAGCACTCGGGAGGCAGAGGCAGGCGGATCTCTGTGAGTTCGATGCCGGCTGGACTGACAGCCTCCAAAACAATACAGAGAAACCCTGTCTCGTAAAACAAAAACAAAAACAAACAAACAAACAAACAAACAAAAAACCACATTAATGCCCTCTAGAATGTACCTGCACAGCGAGGGCATCAAAACAACTCAGCTGATGATAGGCAAGTGAATGACCACAGTGACAGACACAGAGTTTGTGTATGGTTTGAAAAATGTGGGTTATGCCAGGCATGGTGGTGTATGCATTTAATATCAGCGTTTGGGACCTAGAGGCAGGCAGAGCTACTCAGCAAGTTTCCCACCTGCTAGGCCTACAGAGTTACATGGTTAGGCCCTGATCTCCTCCCACCCCTCTCTCCAAAGTGTGTGTGGAAAACATGCATCCATGGACTCCTCACCTACTGAGACTGACCTAATGAGCCTTATTAGATGGCTCACCTTATCAGCAAAATAAGACAATGCTGAACCCCTGTGTAACACTATTGTTTGAGAAGTTTGTACTTGGAAGAAGGTGGACTATTACATGAGAGCCCTTTTCTTTATTTGGGAAGAGATTTTTCCTTTTTTTTTTCTTTATAGGAATAGATGTTTTATCTGAGTATGGGTTTGCCTTTCCTGCCTTCCGAGTCTTAGCCAGCACCAATATCAAGCCGCTCATACAATGTGTGGTCTACAGACCCAACACATCATAGGATCCAATCAGAGGACCTGCTTTGCTGATGTATTATAAATGTCTTCTCTAGAAGTTGCTGGGTAGGTGCAGTATTGGTGTGTGGAAGGCACAGGGAAAGTACTGGGTTCACAGCCATTGTCTGTCACGATACAGACAATGAATTATGGACATTTATAAGGCATTGTGTCTCCAGTAGGTAGAGTGCATCAGTCTGAGAACCAAGAGAAAGAAGCAAGAATGGACTCATTCTCTACACTCTTGGAGACTCCCAGGAGTCACCACAGTTCTGGATTCTGCAGGGTCAGGGATTTATTTATGCCAGGGACATAGCAAAGGACCCATTGAACTGTAAGGCAATATCTTCACCGGATATTTTGATTTCTTTCAACCAGAGCAAGACAAAGAATCAGTGGCTCATAAGAGCCCGTTGACCATGACCAGTAGGAGGCGAGAGATTGATGGAAGCAGGAAGGAATACATACAGAACTCAAGTGATGCACTGGAGTGGCTGGCCCTGGTAGACTTTTTCCCCTTTGGAAACTCCTGATCCACCTACCAAATGCCAAGATTACAGGCATGTGTCACCATGCCTGCTTAATTATAAGATGTATGGTGATGTAATAATTGGGATGATATATGAATAAAATTACCAGGATTCCCACCTCACAGGAAGGAGGATTTGGGACATAGCACCAGGTGAGCAACTGATGCTAGCAGGGAGAACTCGGGGCTCTGGAATGCGAAATGGAGGAGATAGCAAGGTAGGGTATGTCCATGAAAGCAATTAAGGTCATAGAGTCTGTAATTAGTCCTGCTTCTATGTTTTTCCTCAAAAAAGAGGCTTACCGAAGCCCCGGAAGAGCAGCTCCCCAGATGTTTTTATGGAAAGGAATCATGTGGCTCACAGGGCAAACTAATGTGATAGACATGAAGATGTCTGAATTAAGTCCTTTTAATCTCAGCACTTGGGAGGCAAGTGGATTTCTGTGTGTTAGTGGCTAGCCTGGTGTATATGGTGGGTTCCAGCGTGGCCAGGCCACCCTGTCTCAATAAAAACTAAATAGTTAAATAAAGAAAGAAATGGAAGACCACTCCCTCACAGCTACAGGCTGAACATACGGTGGTTCACATCCACAATCTCAGGACGGTTGAGGTAGGAGGTGGGTAAGTTCAAGACCAGTCTCAGCTAAATAGTAACTAAGCAACAACAGCAAAGGCTGACTCCAGCTGTAAGGAGTGACAAACTGACAGTACTCAGCAGTTAGGGTATTCTGAGCCAATTTCAAGTTTTCATCTCACGCTTTTCTCAGGTTTGCCTAAGACCAAACAAGGCTTAACATTTCCATCAGAGTTGGACCCCCTGAGAGACAGTCTCTGTCCTGCAGTTTTACAAACTGCGCAGTAAGGTGCCAAGTCCCACTTCCGCCTCTTGTCTTTCACAGATATTAAAACTCATGTCCCGCCAGGCGGTGGTGGCGCACGTCTTTAATCCCAGCACTCGGGAGGCAGAGGCAGGCGGATCTCTGTGAGTTCGAGACCAAGTCTGGTCTACCAAGCGAGTTCCAGGACAGGCTCCAAAGCCACAGAGAAACCCTGTCTCAAAAAACCAAAAAAAAAAAAAAAAAACCCCAAAAAACAAAAAACAAACAAAAAAACAAAACAAAACAAAAAAACTCATGCCCCTGGTCATCCCAAGTCTTTATATTCCTAGTTTCTTCTTAGGGTCTATTTCTGGGAAAGGCCAGTGAGGCTGGCAGAGGGTTTAGAGCCTGCTCTCTTAACTTGTCAATCACTCCCCAACCCTTGGGACTGATCCCAACTGTCCAGAGCTCCTGTTTTCTCACATGCAAAGTTAAAGTTACTCAACCCTTTCATACCCACATTGTACCGCACTGTGGGGATGGATATACTGTGTGCGGAAATGCCATTAAAAATCACAATTAAACTACTCAAGTTTCTATTAAAAGGCCTAAAGCGTTAAAGTATTTCCCAGATTACCAAACAACCCCCAGTAGTTTCAAAGCCTTTTCAAAGTTAGTATAGTGTATTTTTTTTTCCCCTGTGACTTAGTTTATTCCCAGGGAGTGATTTACACACTTGACAATCAGATACAGACCTAAATAAAGAATTCTAGAGTACTACAGTAACCTGTCATGGGAATTTGGTTTGTTTCTTTTCACTTCTAGGAGAACAATGACTAAGATAGGGGAAACATGAAACATGGAGACTTATTCTTTGGAAAAGCACAGTGGCCAAGAGTGTTAGGAGAAAGTATAAACCCCCTGTGCAGCCATGAACCCATTTTTCCCTTGCTGCTTTGTGATAAGATGCAGTTTTATAGCTGTAGATACACATTACAACTAATAAGTGTACATACATAAAATGCTCTGTGAGGGACAGGGCTTAACTCTGTAGTTTAGGCTGGCTACAGAAGGCAATCTTCCTGTACCAGCCTCCCAAATGGTGGGATTACAGGCATGAGCCACCAAGCCTGGCATGGGTTTCTATTAAACGTATTTAGCTCGCATTCTTCAGGCAAAATGCATTGAACAAAGACAGCTAGTGATCATGTCAGTAACTGTACTAGAAAAAACTTAGTTATATTTTTATCAAGATGAACAGTTTTGTGTAATATTAACATATTATAGGCCACCACACCCAACCCTCTTTTCAAAGGTGTATTTTTGATTTGCAAGGGGAGCTGACATAAATGCACATACAAGCTTTGAATATATACAGTTTCATACAAAGTATGCACCATGTTGAAGTAATTCTCAACTTTTTTTGCGCATCTTCCTTTGAGTGTCTTTTTTTCAAATCTGAGAGGAGGTATGTGCTTCAAAGCAAAAGTGTAAGGTCTAACATGTTCAGCCAAGTGATGGGGCTAAAACTTTTGACGATTAATTTAGATGTCAGGGCAATACAAGGCTGAGTGAAGCTGACAATGCGAGGGTAACCCAAACATTTTTATACATTTTAGAAATGTGGCTTAAAGTAAAACTAATTTTTATTTATACAGATAACTTGAGCATCGACAGGAAATATGACATCAATAATACAAACTGAATTATAAACCTACTAGGCAATGTTGGGAATGTTTAAGCATAGTTTCCTATGAATAACTAGATGTTTATGGCTTGTTTTTGAAACAAAGTCTTTTGTAGCTGGGGCTGGCCTTGAATTCCAAGATCCTGTTGATTCTACTAACAAGTGTTGGGATTATGGTCATATACTGCCATGCTGGGCCGATAAAACTTTTTGTTGTTTGCGTTGTCTGAGAACTCGAGATAACTGAATACAATTTCAAAAAGGTTTTAGCCCAGTGTCTGCTCAAGGAGGTTTTCATAACAGTACACAATGATGAAAGCTGAAGCAAAAAAAACAAAACAAAACGGATATATTGAGACAAATGTTCACACATGACTGAATTTTTCTATCGTTCTAGTGTGCCACCGAGTTGTCTTCGGATACTTGTTTGTAGTTTTGTCTCAGGGATGTGAGGGGAGACGCGAACAGTTTGGCTTAACCTTGTGTACTGCGTGGCAAGAGTTCCCGTACTGTTTACTGGGTTACTTTTTGAACACAGGCGTCCATCCAGATTCCTTCAGGATTAAGGGAGGCCCTGGAAAAAATCTTAGCGTCCCTCTGCCTTTGCTCCCCTTGCCCGGGGTTCAAGGCCACTCGTGTGTGTGTCTGGCAGCCGCTGTTCTCTCCTTTTGCAATACAGCTAGAGCCTGCAGCAGCCACTAGCTCCCGGCCGGGAAAGTGGAGGCGTGGCGCGGGCCAGGAGCGCGGCGGCGCGCAGGCGCTGCTGGGGGACGCGGAGGGGCGGGGCGCCGGCGCGCGGGCACGACGCGCGCCGCCTCCGCCGCGTCAGCAGCGTGCGGCACGTGCCCGTGTTTACGTCCCTCGTGGAGCCGTCGACGTCACAGCCGAATGGCAACATTGTGGCGATGCTGAGACGCCGAGTTTAGGAGTCTGGTCTCGGGTTCCCGCGGGCTCGGCGCGGTCGGCGGGAGGCAGAGCAGCGGCGGCGGGGAGGTCGGCCCCAGCGAGCGGCGGACGGGACGCGCGCCTCAGCGCCTCACGCAGCCCCGCGGCCTCGCGCAGGCCGGCCCGGCGGCCCAGGGCCCCGCGCTGCCGCAGCGAGCGGCTTGTAAACAGATCCGGCCGCACGTGACCATGTGAACTACCTGCTCCGGGCCGCGTATTGTCTCTTCCGAGCGCCGCGCCACAAAGGAGCCGGCGGGAGAGCGGCCCGAGCGCTAAGATGGCTGAAGGCGCCCGGCAAGGGTGAGCTGGGGGCGCGGCCACCGCGGGGACTCGGCCGGGGACTGGAGCTACCATGTCGTTCGCGCTGGAGGAGACGCTCGAGTCCGACTGGGTGGCGGTGCGGCCCCACGTCTTCGACGAGCGCGAGAAGCACAAGTTCGTGTTCATTGTGGCCTGGAACGAGATCGAAGGCAAGTTTGCCATAACCTGCCACAACCGGACGGCCCAGAGACAGAGGAGCGGCTCCCGGGAACAGGCGGGGGCTCCAGCGCCGGATGGGAGTCGCGGGCCTGGCAGCCCGGCCACCAGGGGTCGGCCCGAGGCCGCTGCCTCTGCCACGGCGGTCCGGAGCCCCGGGCCGCGCAAGAGCCCGGCCTGGGCCGAGGGTGGCTCTTCTCCGCGCAGCGCGCGCAGCACGAGGGGGGATCCTCCCCGGGGTCCGGCCGGCAAAGGACCCGAGAGTCCCCTCCGTAGCCCCGCGCGGGCCAAGGCCAGCCCGCTTCGCAGAGGCGCGGAGTCCCGAGATGCGGCCGCCGCCACGCCAGCCTCCACGGCGTCCCCGGTGTCGTCGGTGCGGGTGGTGAGTGCCTCCGGGGCGGTCTCCGAGGAGATCGAGGTGCTGGAAATGGTGAGGGAGGACGAGGCGCCACCGCCGCTCCCCGACTCGGAGCCTCCGCCGTCCGCCGCGGAGCTGGAGTCCCCCGCTGAAGAGTGCAGCTGGGCCGGGCTCTTCTCCTTCCAGGATCTGCGGGCCGTGCACCAGCAGCTGTGCTCTGTGAACTCCCAGCTGGAGCCGTGTCTACCGGTGTTCCCCGAAGAGCCGTCCGGCATGTGGACGGTGCTGTTCGGGGGCGCCCCCGAGATGACCGAGCAGGAGATAGACGCGCTGTGTTACCAGCTCCAGGTCTACCTGGGCCACGGCCTGGACACGTGCGGCTGGAAGATCCTCTCCCAGGTGCTCTTCACCGAGACCGATGATCCCGAGGAGTATTACGAAAGCCTCAGCGAGCTGCGGCAGAAGGGCTACGAAGAGGTGCTTCAGCGGGCGAGGAAGCGCATCCAGGAGGTGAGTGTCTAGTCCCCGCGGCCGTCCTGGCTCTGGTGGCTCACTGTCAAGGGCCGAAGCCTCGGTTTGGGATGTGCGCAGGGTGTTCTGTCCACGAGAACAGGAAGAACAGGAGGGGTTCCCGAGCCAGCTTTCTTTATCTGTCTTAGCGAAGGACTTTTGGGAAGCCTTTAGGGTTTCTCCCCCCCTTTTTTTTCTCTTATAAATGCCCAGTTTACTAAATATAGATAGAAATGAAAGCATAGGAAAATGGGTGTTCTGTAAACTTGAACTCAGTGTATGTTACTCTGCCCCTAAGCCACAGTAACTTGCCCGGACATCAACTGTTCTTTCCAGGTGTCATGGTTATGTATTCAAGATAGTTGACTTATGGAGCAAAGTTGATCTCCTTTTTTTGATCCTCTTGTAGGAGGCTATGAAATTTTACCTTCCAGTGTTTTGCGGTGCTGAAAGTGTACCCCTGAGCTACACCCCAGCCTTAAATTCATTTTTAAGTGTGTTGACTTGTCCAAATGACAACTGACACAAATTCTTAGACTATCAAGTCTTTATAGATGGCTCAAGTTTCACTCTTGTTTTAGGGAGAAGAAAGGTCACGGGCAGGAATGCTCATTATGCTTTGTTTGTTTGCTTGTTTTGATTTGTGTGTGTGTGTGTGTTTCCAGGACAGAGTTTCTCTGTGTAACAGTTGGGGCTGTCCTGGAACTTGATTTGTAGACCAGGCTGGCCTCGAACTCACTGAGATCCTCCTGCCTCTGCCTTTGTCTCCCAAGCACTGGGATTACAGCATATGCCACCATTGCCCAGCTTCATTATGTATCTTTTGTTTGTAGTGTGTAAACTTTTCCATACTCTTTAATTCTTTAAATGACAGGAAGTAAAAGGGGGATATACCTGAATGACCATACGTACGGATTTCTGCAGTGTGTTATAAAGTCACGCCTCTTTACCAACTTCTGTTGAAACTTTTTCAAAGCAATTTACTATTTTAATGTCACTATATATCGTAGTTGGATTTGGGATTGAGAAAAGCTCCTTTTCATGGATTTTTTTTTATTCCTGACTTGTGTGTGTGTGTGTGTGTGTGTGTGTGTGTGTGTGGGGGTGGGTGGGTGGGTGGGTGGTGTGTTATATGTGCTGTTAGGCTAGGAAACTGAGACATTCTGGGTTTCTCCATATAATATTAGGTGTTTCTCTTTGCTAGACTGAAGTATTTAGCAAACACTTGTTTCTCACTTACATCATACACAGTATTTTTACAACTTCCTTAATCAAGACTCTTCACTAGTAGGTGCATCTTCAGTTCCAGAACTTGGGACTTCCTCAGGAGGCAGGGGCAGGTGGATCTTTGTGAGTTGCGGCCAGCCTGTTCTGAATAGTGAGTTCTAGGACAGCCAGAAACACTTAGTGACACCTTGTCTTGAAAGGAAAAAAAGGATTCTTTACTCCTTCCCTTTGGTTTAGTGTATGGTAAACATCATCCATAATAATCTCATCCTAGAGTTCAAGGGATCTGTTTTCATTCCCCCTTTATTATCTCACTTTGGAGACTACTACCTTGATATCTTTTTGGACAGAAGTGACAAGTATTCTTTCTAGTGTTCATGTTAACCTCTATTTTAATTTTCTAAAACGTTTTTTTACTACTCAATTATGTGTGTATGTGTATGTATGTTAGTTTCTCCAACTAGAAATTATAGATAGCAAGTGTTTTCCAAACTAGAAGCTTTTTAATCCCTAATTTAGAGATGTCTCCTTCAACTTTAGTGATACTCAAAGGTAGCTAACAAAGGTGGTTGTTTTTGCTTTTTAATTTTTTTTTTTTTTAGGAGACAGGGTTTCTCTGTATTGTTTTGGAGGCTGTCGGTCCAGCCCGGCCTCGAACTCACAGAGATCCGCCTGGCTCTGCCTCCCGAGTGCTGGGATTAAAGGTGTGCACCACCACCACCCGGCCTGCTTTTTAAAATTTAAATGGATCAAAAATGAGCTCCCAAAAACTTTAGTTTGTAGAACTCAATTTTGAGAGTTAGTTTTTTTTCTAAAAGAACTTTATTAACTAATTTTTTGTTTTGGTTTTTTGTTTTTTGAGATAGGGTTTCACTGTGTAGCTTTGGAGCCTGTTCTGGAACTGGCTTTGTAGACCCTTGGCCTCCAACTCACTGAGATCTGCCTGCCTCTGTCTCTGGTGTGAGTCCCAAGTGCTGGGACTGAAGATGCACCTATTAGTGAAGAGCTTTGACTAAGGAAGTTGTAAAAATACCGTGTGTGATAAGTGAGAAACAAGTGTTTGCTGGGATCTAAGGTGTGCACCACCACCGACCGGCTTATTTTACTCTCTTTAAGGTGTTTTTTAACTTTTTGGTAATTTTTAAAGTAAGGTCTCATTCTGTAGCCAAAGTGGATTGGAAATTTACCAATATGTAGCTCAAGTTGGCCTCAAACTCTTGATCTTTCTGACTCACCTCTGAGTGCTGGAATTACAGGTGTAAACCACCACATTTGACAGCTTTATTTTCTTTAGTAGAGGAACAAAACAATAAAATATTTTTAAAGCCTTTTTTTCCTTCGGAAACAAGATATTTATTATAATTCGTAAACAATCCTTTACCACTGAACCACATCTTCAGCCCTCCCCTTAAAAAAAGTAGCTAGGTCATGTTGGTATACCCCTTTAATCCCAGTACTTGGGAGGGAGACAGAGGTAGGCAGATCTCTGTGAGTTTGAGGCCAGCTTGGACTATACAGAATGAATTCCAGGGCAGCCAAGGCTGTTAAATAGAGAAAACCTATCTCAAAAAACCAAAAAGAAAAAAAGTGTAAAACAACATTGTAACAAATGTCAGTGACCTTGACACAGTTGAATTCCTTGTTTTGCTACCACTGGTTCAGAGCACTCAATATTATGGGTAAGGCATATCCTTTTCATATCAAATTGTAGGTGAATGCAATTTTTATAAGTTGATACATGTATATTCTTCAGAGAAGATGATTTAAAACATTAAAATTCTCTTAAAATCGTTAGTTTTTAGATTTTGAGGCTGTCGTTGGGTTTATGATCCTTCTCCCTTAGCCTCCTGACAGGGAGAATGTGGGGGTCCCAACACCTGGCTTGTTAACTTTTAAATACCAAAAAAGAATGGGGGCTGGAAGCCTAGTTTATGGAGTGCTTGCCTGACATGAAGCCCTGGTTTCAGTCCCCTGCACTGGAACCTTGGTGTAGTATCCCTTGCCTGCTGTCTCAGCACTTTTGAGTGAGGGGCAGGAGGATCAGAAGTTCAAGGCTACCCATTGTGTAGCAAGTTGAAGCCAACCTGGAATTCTCGAGACCTTGTCTCAAACATAAAAATCAACAACAACCAGAACAAAAGCCACTATTGCAAATAATTGGCTGTGCTATGTAAGGTTGTGACACTTGAATTGGAGTTTTAGCATTTGTAATACCCTTAAAGTTTAATATGAGTTACCAGGTTTTTGGTGTCAGCCACTCAGGGAGGCCAAGGTGGGAGAGTCACAAGCTTAAGACTTGCCTGAGTGAATTTAAGTGGAATCCTATCAAACAACTAAAGAGCTGGGGAGATAGACCAATGGTAGAGCACTTGCGTACGGTGGGCGAGACCTAGGTTAATTCCTAGTATGGCAAAAAAAAAAAAAAAAAAAAAAGGAAGAAGAAAAATTGGTATGGGGGAGCTGTTGGAAAGTTTTTGTTTATAATTCACACCTGGAGGTTATAGTTCATGAGGATTTACATGTTATACGAGAATACAGTATTAATTATTTTTAGGTGACAGACACATTCTAAGATTATATACTAAAAGCCTCAGTCTAAGTAAAATGTAATATTTGTTATTTGTATTTTTGTCTTGAACTTTTTACATGGGTTTATTGTAGTATCTGCTATTTATATGGCATACAGGCAATTTTTATATGAATACAAGGACTACCAAGGCCTCTTTGAACAGTGTAGTAGTAGATCTTGGTAGTTGTTCAAAGCTAATGTTTGATTACTGTGTGTGCACACAGGTAGCTTCGAACTTAACTTGGACCTAGATTTTTAAGTAATGGTTTCTTGTATAATCATAACTATTTTTCAGGTGGTTCATTTGGGCATTTTAGCTCAAACCTCGATTTTGTTAGAGGCTTACTTAAGATCTAAAACTCTGTTTACTTTGGAATTGATTGTTATGTAAATATACTGAATTCTAACTGAGTTAAATCCATTGAGAGCAGAAAGTGCTTCCAAAGAAGCACACTGATCATCTTGCCAGGGTTTGGAGTCAGAGCAGTCTGAATTTGATTAGGACTCATTACTTCTGATGGCATGCTCAGCTATTTAGTCTCTTAAGTCTCTTGCAAGTTAGGACTGCATGAAATCACAACTACCTGGCATTTACAAAGGTGGCTTCTAATAAGTATGGCGTAGGTGTCAAACTCTGAGTATTCCTGGTGGAGCCCAGCTAGACAGTACTCTACCATTGAGTTACATCTTCAGTCCAAGTGGATGTCTGCCTATATAGAAGCTAAAGTTGAGGCTTAAAATGGTGTTGGGTTTGGCAAAGTTAAACTGTTAAGCAGTGACAGAATTCAGATACAGACCTAGGCCTGTTTTACCAACTTTGTGCTTTTTCTGCCATAACGTGCTACTTGTTTGGTTTCTTTTTCTTGCTTCCTTTCCTTGACAAAAATAAAGTAACTAGAAGGGAGCCCAGGCTGCTCTTGAATTCCTTATCCTTCTGCCTTTATTTTCCCTATGCTGGAATTACAAAGGTAGCCTACCTGGTTCTTTTGAATTTCTTGATCTAAATCAGTGGTTCTCAACCTACCTAATGCTGTGACCCTTTAAAACAGCTCCTCATGTGGTGGCCTCCAACTGTAAAATTGTTTTTTTGCTACCTAACTATAATTTTGCTACTGTTATGAAACATAAATATGTTTTCCATGGTTTCAGGCAACCCTTCTGAAGGCATCCAGACCCACAAGTTGAGAACCACTTATCTAAATGC